GACTGTAACACTTGCAAAGTGTGTAGAAACCAGGCCTCTCGTTATCAGGGTAAAATACCCTTTTTGCACTGACTGGCGGCCGCTTTTTTCCAGTTACCCTTTCCCAAGCAGGGTATTGGGATTTTTACCCTAGGCCAGAAAGTGTAGGTTTTTTTTTTCCCTTTGAAAAACAGTGTGATGGAACTTTTTCCCTGAGTGTTTAGGGTGCGATTTCAGTTACGCTGATACTGAGTTTCTCGCAACCGAGGATTTCCGACTATGAACTGAACACATTGCGAAAAGGACAGCAGGACCAACACCCACATAAGACGACCTCAACCAAAGGTGCAGTCCCGAGGAATTTCCTCGCGACGTGCCGCGAAACCACCACATTGGTGGACGAGGCAGCCATGCTGCCAGCACAACATGAATTCACCGCCAGAGCAGCATTTCACAGCTGCTAGCGTTGTCCACAAGCGCGCCGACAGCACACCGGTGCAGAAAGCAGCTGTTTCATGCTGTACAGGGCACGTCATGGCAGCCAAGAGGAAGCACCGTGAGCCACGCATGAGACGCGCTCCGGCCTCTTTCAAGCCATCACAGGTCTGGTGGGGCATTGTGTGCTCCCAAGGACACCCCATCTTGTTCCTCCTGCTCATTCTCACCGTGAGGGGAACACCAGCGAGGCTCCATCCTATGCCTCAGTCATGCCTGCCGAGCATTCTCAAGATCCGCCTGCTGTAGAGCGCAATGGCCTATCTGTGCTCGGAGTTCTTCCCCGCCTGGCAGACTCCTACAGCGTGCCGATTTCACCGTTGCCACGTCCCGCTTCTCCAGTGCACACTGTAGGCACCGTGTACCCGTTCGAGCCTCCATCCACATCGTCTGACTTCGAGCCGCACCCGTCAATTGTTCTTGTGCTTGGCGGTGGGGAAGGGTCGTCCAGGCCACCGGCGGATTCACCGTCTACCGTGAACAGCACGCCGGTCAAACGCCCGCGGGTCGCTGTGAAGTACAAGCAGCAGCGCCTTTGGGGAGCTCCTCCTCCTCGGAAGGCAGCCTCCCCGCAACGTGATGCTGATCCTGAGGATGCCGCGCCGCCAAAAACTACTGGTGATGTTATGTACGACACGATAAAGCACCTCTATGAGTCTAAGTGGCGTGGTAAATTCAAGTGGTTACGTCTGATTCGGTTGCCTAACGGTGTTGCGAAATTGAAGTGCGACATCTGCGTGCAGCATGGAGACCCCACCGCTCACACAAGCTACGGTGCGAAGGGCGAGGGTGGGCGCGACCTCCACATCGGTAGCGTCCGGGCCCATTCCGCGAAGAGAGCACACAAGAACGCCTTAAATGCCCAAGCAGAAGCGGAAGCGGACAAGGCGAAACAAGCAAGCAGCACCCGCTGGCAGGCAACCGACGCGTCGACGAGGCACATCATTCGCGTTCTGCACATCGCTCTCTTCGTCTGCAAGGCGGATGCGCCAATCGCGATGTTCATCCCGCTCTGCTGGTTCTTGGCGAAGGAAGGCCTTCCCGACCTCCCCAACAGTGGCGGCTATGTCGCCTACTACACAAAGTAAGCCCCTGTTTGTTTCTATTATACCTCTCGATGTGCCCAAGATTTGTTCTAATTGTTGTGTGTTGACCTTGTGGCCTGCAGATACGGCTTCAGAGAGAACCTGCGAGCCATCTCGGCTTACCTCCAGGAAGTGCAGCGGTTGCATCTACTGGAGTCACCCTGGATTGGTCTAGCCCTAGACGAAAGTAGTGATCGCGTCAACGGGAAACACCTCATCCTCTACGCGACTTTTTTCTGTGGGACCGTGGTGGTGAACGAGTTTTCGACTTTGATCACAGTTGACCGTGCTGACGCCGGGTCATTGACTTCTGCTGTAGTGCAGTACTTGACAGTTATAGGTGTCGATCTTCAGAAGATATCGTCCGTGTCAACTGACGGTGCGAATGTTATGATGGGGAAGCACAATGGTGTTGTCGCCCGGCTGCGCATGCGGATTCCTCATCTTGCATCAACACACTGCGTCGCACATCGGTAGGTCCTTACCTGACATGAATTCAGTGATGTTCGTTTATGTTATATACCAACGTTCTCACGCTGCTTCCTTGTTGACATTTCCAGAGAGGCTTTAGCTGCAAAAAACGCGGCGGAAGCAGTACCCGAGCTCTTCATGGTGGACAACGTGGTCCGTGGCTTCGCTGACCTCATCGGTCGTTCGAACGTCAAGTATGACAAGTTCCACAACATCCAGCAGGTGTTCTGCAAAACCAACCTCGAGGCTCAAGGCATTCACGACGTGCGGTGGCTGTCACGCGGAGAGGCTATTAGACGCCTCCTCGAAATCCTTCCTGCAGTCATGGTGGTGCTCAAGGAGTACAACGCCGATCTGTACGAAATTGCGACGTCTCTCAAATTCCAGTGGCTGCTTCGCCTGCTTGCAGACGTGCTTTGGGAGCTGAACTTCCTGAACCAGCGGTTCCAGCAAAGGCAGGTATGGTTGGCACATACCCCTTGTGTTGTGGCTCTGTCCCAATGTGTTTCGATTACACATGTCGCTAACACCTTCAATTGTTTTAACTCTGCAGATCGACATCACTCTGGTGGCGCACCTGGTGTAGCAGACACGCTGGCGCCTGAAGAACCGTTATTTCAACGGTTCCCCCACTCATCACTTCGGCAGCGTGGAAAAGATGGCTCTCAACGACTTCATTCAGCGCCACCAGAAGATGGACAAGCGGCAGGTGAAGGCCGAGGGCGTGGACAGTGATGGCAACCCCGTGACCTTTGAGTACAAGCTGCACGAGAGGAAAATCAAAAGGCACGAGACGGACGGTGATGTTACCGCGTGCTAGAGCTGTCGTTGAAGTTCGTGCGTGAAATCGACAAGGAGCTAGAGTGGCGCATGAGGGACCTGGAGCATCTGGAGGGGTCGAAGCTGTTTCGCTCAGCAGCATACGTCACAGACGATGCAAAGCGGGTGGAGAACTTCAAGAAGTGGCTGGCTCAACTGCACAAACTGCTCAACGACAAACTGCCAAGTAAGCTTGTCTCTGGTTTGCTTGCGAACCTGATTCTTGAATACCTGCTTGTATGCGACTTGCTGTGTCGTTACGTTGTGCACGCATGTCTGCGCACTGTTGATTGTTTGGTTTAAGAACCCCCCTCCCTCCCGCCTTCTGCAAGTATACCCAATGTAATTCCCTCTCATGAGCATCAGGATTCGACTTCACAAGAGCACAGAGCGAGCTGTGGATGTTCACGTCCACCATGTTCTCCCAGCACAACGACGAGGACTTCCACCAGGCGCTGGGGAACATGCTTCAGGATGACGCATGGCATCACTCCTTCCCCAACCTGATGCGGATGTGGCAGGCTGTTGCCGTGCTACCTCTGAGCACGGTGGAGTGCGAGAGGGGCTTTAGCAAGCAGAATCTGATCAAGTCATGGGAGCGGGGCGCCCTCTCTGACACGACCCTCGAGCATCTGATGAGATGCTCTCTCCTCCAGTACGACGTGGACTGGTACGAGGTTGTGGCGATTTTCAGGAGAGAGAAGCTGCGGCGGTCGACGAAGGACTTCAGTGGCACCAACCCAGGAGAGGCTCTTTTCTCAGCTGGCGCCACTGAGGGATCTGACCCTGTTGATGTTGACTAGGGAATGCCTATCATAGTTATGGTGGTAGTCGGCCATGTGTAGCTTTAGCGTCATGCAGATTGAACGTGCTAGTTATGTAGACTGCAATCATAGTATGTTCAACAATTAGCTGTTGAAAACAATGTATGCTTTTTTTTTTATACTGACTGACTCAGTGTAGAGGGAAAACTACGCTGCAAAAGACAGGCTAAAAAAAATTTTACCCTAGCCCTCAGGGTTAGATATGAGCACGAACCGAACTCAAACGTGTTTGTTCAAACCTTTTCGAACCTTGCATGTTGGTCGAACCGAACTGAACAGGTTTGCTCGAACTTTTTTCAGACTTTTAAGGTTTGAGGTTTGAGTATACAATGGCGAACCCTAAAGGTTTGCTCAAACCTTCTAAGGTTTGAGCGAACTCGAACCTTTACAGGTTTGAGGTTCAAAATGATGCACATGTTAATCTCTCGACAATAAATAGACATCACTAATCTGTCAAACATAAGAAACGAGTTGACGTTTGACGCATCCTAAGTTGGAGCTGAGGTGAAACAAAGGTAGTGGGGAAGCATGGATGAACTAGAGTTGATCTAGATCTAGATCTACTCTGCTCTGCTACGATTCAAGGGTTGGCTGCCTTCAAATGGCAGCCAACCTACGACTTTCCCGTTTTCGACGGGAAAGTCGCGAGGGGTTTTTTCTGGCGGGAATTTAATTCGAACACCTCGCGGTTCGAATTTCACCTTTTCCAACTTCGAACCTGTTCGGTTTGAGGTTCCAAACTCGAACCGAAAAAGTTTGAGCGAACTGTTCGCGCGAACTTTAGCAAGGTTTGCTCAAACCTTTTTCGCGGGAAAAAAAGTTCGGTTCGAGATAACTCGAACCGAACTTCTCGAACCGAACCTAAGTTCGGTTCGATGCTCATATCTACTCAGGGTGCACTTGGTCTCGTACCCTGATCACCCAGGGTCGGCCAAAACCAATCTGAAGCCCTCGTAGAAACCACCCAGGGACCAGATTCATTGAAACAGGCCGACCTCGGTGGCGATGCATGCAGCGCCCACACTTGCCACGTAAGCGATGCAGCATAGCTGCCCCCGCTGGCAACATTCCTCTGTGCTGGCAGCATCTAATGATGCTGCCAGCGTCGTTTTGCTGCCAGCGGTGCATGGCAGCTTCCAGCACGCTGCTGGCAGCACGTTGGCAGCGCGAGGGCTGTCCTCTACGAGGTGATGCCTCGTAGAGGAGCGGCTCGGCATCTGTGGATGGGGCACTCTGGCTGGGGGGTGGTAGTCGGGCTCGTGCTTCATTTGGTGCTCAAGGAGGTTGAATTCTCGACTCAACCTTGCTCTCGGCAGGCTCTCTAACCATGCGCAGCAAGGTACCCGTAGGCAAGTCCTCACCTCGTCCTAACGTGCAGGTGAATAACTATGGGCGAATTAACTCGCCCGGCGACGACATCCTTGTAGCCATGGCAAAGAACGCGAGCAGGTCGGGAAGTCCTACCGCCGCCTCCGGTGCGAGCTGTGACGGGGACGACGGAGACGAAGCACACGGCGACGACGCGGAGGAGGATTGGCCGGAGAACGGCCACGACGACAGCGCTTCGGGCATTAGGTCCTGCCGACATTGAGGAGGACGAATGGTGGAATCAGCTGGTCGGGAGCGACGACGAGGAGGAAGAGTGGCGGGCTGGTGATTCCGACAATGACGGAGGTGAAGATGCTGACGGTGACCACGCGGAGGCACAGGAAGCGGCGGTGGATGCGAATGAGGCTGCCGACGAGGCGGAGGCGGAACTCGAGACAGTTGCGCCTGCGGATGCGGTCGCGGAGGCGGAGGCGGACAAGGTTGCTGCGGATGCCGTCTTATTTGACGGTGAAGGCTCCGACGACGACCCGTGGAGCCTTGGGACAGACGACGACGTTTCGCTACTGAAGCGGAGGCTGCGCCAACGCCTACAGTCCACGTCGAAGCGCGCCCGCGTTGTGCTCTCTGACGACGACAGTGCCGGGAGGAGCGACGCCCGATACTCACCGCTGCGGAGAAGGGAAAGGCCAAGGTCGTGGAAACCCCTGCTAAGGCCCCTGCTCGTCGCCGCACAAGCAACAAGAAGCGCAAGACCGACGGAGACCCGGGATCCAGCAAGGGTGCGGCTAAGAAGGCGAAGAAGGCGCCGAATCCTTACGACATCATTGTGAACGAGGCGTTGGGCAGCGATGATGAGTACGCGGCGGCGGTGGGCCCACTTCCCACGTTCCCAGAGAAGGTCACGCCGAAGGATCCTACCCTCCATAATCCCAACACCCGCCCACCTTCCCCTCGCAGCAAAGACACTACGAAGAAGCGCCGCGGATGGACCGTGCGTGAGAAGCTTAAGTGGGCGCGCCGCTATCAGGAGCTCGGCTCCTTGAAGAAGACGAGCTTGGAGTCAACCGCGAGCATCGCCTGCATCAGACGATGGAGTGCGGGGGCGGCAGCGGGCTTCTACAAGGGCGCGGCTAACTGCCACAAGCGGATTCACGGGGGGGGACGTCACGCACACTACCCCAACATGGAGGCAGCGTTGTACCGCTACATCTGCCTTCAGCGCGCTAACGGGGTGGCCATCTCGGTGAAGGACACCTAGAAGTGGAGCTGCAAGTGGATGAAGAAGCATCACCTCAGCAAGAACTGGAACGCGAGCTCTCACTGGAGCCAGCGTTTCCGTGACCGCTGGAACCTGGTGATGCGGGTGAAGACGAAGGTCGGACAACGTCTGTCGGCAGGTGCGTGAAATTGGAAATCGTGTTGCGCTCGGCCTATTGTATGCATGTCTTACCTCGCGAGTGTCTAATAATCCCGTGCTCCTGTTACTCATATCTCGTTTGCAGAGTGCGCGAAGGACTGCGAGTCCTTCTGGAAGTTTGTGCGCATCAACAGGGCGCGGCACAACATCGACCTGGCCCGCATCATAAACGCGGACCAGACGCCACTGTTCGTAGAGATGCCGGCCGAGAGGACGATCGAGCACCGTGGCGCGCGCTCGGTCCCAATCCGCACCGCAGGGTACCAGAAGATGCGCTTGACGGTGATGCTCGCGTGCACTGCATCTGGGGAGAAGCTGCGGCCGTGGGTGTGGTTCAAGATGAAGAACGTCTCCAACTGTGAGATCCCGGACGGTAAGCGCCATAGATGCAACCGTGCGAGTGCCTCATGAGCGTGCCACACTGTGTTGATGCCCGTCTATCCCTTGTGTGCCTGTCAGGAATCGTGTGTCAAGCACAGGACAACGGGTGGATGGACGAGAGCGCCGTGCAAACCTGGCTGTCCAAGGAGGTCCTGCCCCGTCTGAACCCCCAGCGCGGCCAGAGCGCGAGGCGTGCGATGCTGGTGTTGGACTCCTACCGCGGCCACATCACCCAGACCATGCTTCAGTCGTACCGCACGCACAGCATCACCCCTGCAGTCATCCCAGCGGGTTGTACGAGTCAGATTCAACCCCTGGACGTCTCTATCAACCAGTGCTTCAAGGCTGCAGTGCGAGCGCGCTATGCCAGGTGGTTCATGCGTGAAGGAATTCATCTGAAGACGAAGAAGGGTGAGTTGGTCCTTCGTTATCTTTAACATGTCCCCCCATGTCCGTGTCTCTAACAACTCGCTGCCCCGTCCTCTGTCCCACCCGCAGGAAACCTGCGGAGGCCTCCGCACCCCGTGGTGCTGCAGTGGATCGCGGAGGCTTGGGATCAAGTCCCCAAGCATATCATCATCGACGCGTTCCGCCACTGTGGATCTCCAGCAAGCTGGACGGAATGGGGAACCACCTGGTGATGTCTCACCTGCGCGCCAGGAGCACCACCGATGTCTCCGAGGACATGTCCCTCGGGGGAACCACAGGCAACAACACGCGCCTGCTCGGGAAGGCTCCAGAGGAGGAGGAGGGGGAGGAGGAGGAGGAGGAGGAGGAGGAGGAGGAGGAGGAGGAGGAGGAGGAGGAGGAGGAGGAGGAGGAGGAGGAGGCGAAGCAGGCGGAGGGCGTGCGGGAGGTGGCCGTGGCAACTGGCCTGGAGGTGCTGTACCAGGAGACCCCCAACTACCGCGGAGCGGCGGCCGAGGCTGACCGCATGATCGAGCCTAGGGAGACGGCTAGGCATGCCTGGCGAGTGCCAGTCCTGAGTGTAGAGCTGTTGCTAGTTCTCCAGAGGAGGCGGTGACTGAGGGGGGTTAGGTAGAAGTAGAGATTCATGCATGTATGGATATACCCCCCTAAAGTAAGGAAGGTTCATTTAGAAGACAGCCCGTTTTTATAAGAAAACCCGTAAACCCCGGTTATGATTATAAGACATATATGTCTTATCTCGTACACACAAATAGGTGTCGTATAAAAAGGCTAGCCTGTTTATAAGAGACACCCGTATAGTAGACAACCCCTGTCTACTATTCAATGCGGTTGCTTCTTCAACTTCCCACAGAGTGCGTGGTCCTTGTTCGGATGAGACACGACAAATTTAGGCCACTTGGAATAACGAAATTCAACATAATTCTTCGTCTCAGCAATCGTCCCTGGGCCATCAACAATTGTAGCGCTTGCGTCGCCCACCCTTGGCAGTCGTGACATTCTTCCATTGCCAATTGTCACCACCTGCCTGATACGAGGCACTAAGGCAAGATGAAATGTCTTTCATGTAAGGCACCGCCCCTCCGGAACGGATGTTGTTGATCCGTACTTCGGTTACAACGTAGCCGACACTTGCAGAGGTTCTGACACCCAGGAAAGGGAGAACAAGAGAGGCAGGAACACCACGTGGTAATTCAAGGCTCGCATGGGGATTGTGCAAGAGCAGGGGTAGGATGAGATTCGTTTCAAGCAAATCAAGATGATCTTAGATGCATTTTCAAGCATGATAGAATGCGACATCCTTTAGTGTAAAGCTGAATCAACTTCTGAGTCGACTCAAAAAAACTATCAATGAAGTCGATGACATATTCTGTCAGCATTTGCACTGAACCGAGAGTGTTTTCACTGGTAACTTACTTGACTGCCTTCAAAACCATTCGTCCAGACGCTCCTCGGTCGCCTACTACCTTCTTGTTGCTACGGGTGGGGGTGAATTTGGCCACATAGCGCACTGGAAAGGAAGGCAGGGCAAGCACAAAGGAAAAGGGTACCCAGAAGGTTACCCAAATAATTTTATTTGTCGGCCTTTGGATGATTGGTTCAAGGGAGCTGGTTGCGCCGACTCGCAGCGAGCGTGAATCGCCGGGCCTTCCACCGCGGAAAGAACACGAGTCAACTGGAGTAGTAACGTGAAAAACGGAGAACAACCTGCGAGGCTCGCAGCTGGAAGCAGACAGAATTTTCATCAAGTACTTTATATTCTCAGGCGTTTTTTGAAAAACGTAAGAATCACCAAGTGCTGAGATCCCATTGGAAGAGAGAGGAGACAAAAAAGCACCGTTCCTTTGAGTGGGCCCCAGTTAGGTGCCATAACAGCAACTATGGATGTTAAGATTTAAAAAAAATATGTAAGACTTACCCTACCGAGCACCTTTCCTTTCACCAAAGGAGCGGCCTGAGTGGACCAGGGTGGAACGCAGCGACGGACGTCGAGGGGGGAGGTGGACCTTTGAGTGACTCAAGACTTACCGAACACCTTCCCCTTCACCACAGGAGTGGCCAGAGTAGACCGTCCAGGTCGGAATGCAGCGACGGACGCCAAGGGTGACGCTAGTAAAGAGTTTGTTGGGAGCAACGAGTCCGCTGAAACGTCGGATGCTGTTGCAGACGACGTTGCACTCGCCGTGACGAGCGTTACAACTGCACACGGCACAGATCACCCATTCATGTCTAAAACAAGCGTTTATGATCAGCCTTAGGTGCTTGATTGGCAGAGCCGTGTCTGCACTTGCACTACAGCGAAGGGCGTGTTTGAGACGTCTCAAAACTTGCGCTATAGCCACGGGCGTCAATGTCACTCACATATTACTACCCAGCAGAGCGCAGCTTGTTCCATGATAAGAGATGACAGAGGCGAGCCTGCGTTGATACTAATGGTGGCCGTAGAAACATGCAGGTTTCAGAAGCCAGCAAAAGAACAACAAAAATTTCAAAATAATCACGCGACGCGACGATTTTCAACTTTCGCTCAATCCTGTGGACTAGCCTCGCACCGCCCTCCACGTTTTTTAATATCTATCAATCCCATGGACTGCTACATGCGCTTTCGCGGTATATTTACACTTACTCTGAAAAGAGTGTTGAGACTGTTTGGTTGGAAGTTACATTATCATAAAGGCATGGTTTACCCCAACCTTCCTTGTTTCTGTTTTATTTTTTAAAATATATTGCACTGCCTGCGTAAGCAGGCAGTGCAATCGAGTCAGCAAGCTGACCACGGGCAAGAAAAAAAATAAATCACACTCGGATGGCATGCCATAAGCCATGGGGTTTATTTTTTTTGCCCGCGGTCAAAATCTTCCGACATCGTGCCACAGTCCATGGATCATGGATGCAGTCGCGTAAAAAGACAACCACGCCGGGTTTGCAATCATTGCAGCGGGATTGCGTCAGATACGATTTCTCGCAAAAGCGCGGCCTGCTAGGGACCCTAAACGTAAGAACAACGAATACGCAGGACAACAGCTCTGTGTTGGCGGGTGTAGCAACAAGTGGCAGTCCATGGGATTGATAGATATTAAAAAACGTGGAGGGCGGCGCGAGGCTAGTCCACAGGATTGAGCGAAAGTTGAAAATCGTCGCGTCGCGTGATTATTTCAAAAATTTCGTGGCTGATTAGGGCGTGTGTGAATCTAAATGGAGTTCGAAAATGAGTTCGAACTTACGGTGGTAACCAGTTTCGCCGGTATTCGCTAATCCTGTCGCCGACTCTGGTTTCAAACTGATTCTGTCGGCACTCGAACCCCCCAAAGTGAACAAGAATCGAGTTTAGGGTTAAGCTTGGTTTTGCACGTTGAAGCGAGCGTGTGTGGTTTCAGGCACGTACGAGGAGTGCGCGACACTCGCAAAACATTCGTGCACCAATAGGTGCACGACCGGAACCCACGGCATACCCACGCAGGGAACGGCCGCCACGTGCAACATGTCGTGGCACGTGGACGTGCCGTTTTGCGCTTGGGCCAACTCACCTTTGTATCTTGGTGGTCCATGCGGGGCATGATGATGAGGTGGAGGTCTAGAGGGTCCATTTGGGGGGCGCGCTCCGTTGACGTGTCGCGCTGTCAAGATGCCGATACCTGGTAACCTACACACCCTAGTGGCGGTTCGGTTCCCCCCCTACAAGCTCGAACTTGCAAATTCGCACTTGCGTGTGTGGTTGTGAGTTGGCAACTTTTGAGTCCGGCGGTTCGAACTTTGCAAGCACTCAAAATCGAGTATGGCTCGCTTTGTGTTCAATTGCTACAATCGAGTCAAAAATGTAAACTTCCGGTAATATTTAGATTCACACACGCCCTTATGCGGGTGAAACGGGGGTACGGTAACGAAGGTCGACTCAAACTTGTGCTGTTCGGAAATGAAGGGGTGAAGAGGAGGGAGGGAGGCGAAATAGGGATTCTCGAACTGACCTGGATAGGCTGGAGCTGACGAAGCGAAGCGGGCTGGCGTGGACTTGTTAGTGTCGCTTTCGCCGAGCTGAGCTGGCAGGAGTGGCGATCCCGGTACAGTACTAGTTTCGGTGACCATTTCAGTGGCCCCGTTACTGAAAACCTTTCGTCACAAGTTCGCTTCCCTAAGTCGTTACTTGGCAACCCTTGTCGCTAATGACTGGAAAACCAAAACAGGTTTTTACAATAAGGTGCAATCGCGGTGACGGTACTTTACACTGGTAACAAACCTTTTACTAGAGAAGTGACTTCCTTGCTGGTCTGCCAAGCAAAGCGCCGAAATCGGCAGACACCTCCGTCGTGACAGCCGCCACCTCAAGTGAATTATATCCAGTATCCGCGCTTGCTGTGTTCGCAATCTCTCTCACGTGCAGCTTCCCGCGTCAGAATTCGCAAAGTAACGAGCCTCGCCTGCATCCGGATCTACTTTCGCGGATTTCGCACGTGATTGTAACAGGCGCCTTCGACGCCTGCCGCCGCCTCATCCGTCGGTGTCATGCAGATGGCGCAGCCGGGCGACGTGGGAATGTCGAGCACGGGGAGAGTGGGGTGCAGTCTCTAGTAGGCCCGTGTCTGTGCTACTGTTTAGGACGTGTGTGATTCTGGAAATAGGCTAAGTTTACATTTTTTTGTCGAATGTAGCATTTGAACTTGAGCCGAACAGTGTTCGACTTCCGCTGAACGTGAAGTTTGAACCGCGCAATAACATTTTCAGGTACCGTATTACCCCGGATATAGGCGCATCTGCGCTTATAATAAAACCAGTTTTTTTTAGGGGTGGCGCTTGTAATTGAATCACGGCCATAAGCGTCGGCGCTTAAATCATGGCAAATACAGAAATACAACTTAAACGCACCAAATTGTACATTTCAATCTCGAAATTTCAATCGAATCAGAATTTTAGAGAGTCCTGAAACAAAATCGCGCGTGGGCGCTTCTCTGATGCTGGACAGAGCTATGGCACGTCAATTTGCTTGCGTGCCAGCTCATCCTGACTGGACGCGCAACCAGTCAGGACCTCGAAAGTCAAACAAAGTGAAAATGGGTGCTGACTCGCTTGAAAATCGAAATTCGCTACCGTTTTAATCAGGTATGAAAAATAAAATTATACGTGCGCTTATAATAAAACAGGGTTTTACAGGGGGCGCTTATAATCGAGTTCCGGCCATAAGCGCCATGCTCCAGATAGAAGCGCCGGCGCCTCTATCCGGGGCGATACGGTATGTCAAATCACACACCCAAGGTCGAATTCGAATGTTCTACCTTATAGGGGGTGCGCCGAGCCGCACGTAGGGGATCTAGGTTACCAGGTATAATTCCGTAGACATCGTGTCAGAATCCCAGTCACTAACCACTGGGATAAAAGGGCTTGTTTATATAGCGGGTGAGTGCGCCCATAACCCCCCAGGCCGACGTGCCTGTAACCCTTCCCTAGGATCATCGGGGATCCCCAGTGGACCTCTGACACCCCCCCGCACTGGGATGCCCGAAGTGCACACACCGGGAATCGAACCCGAGACCTTCGCTCTGATACCATGTCAGAATCCCAGTCACTAACCACTGGGATAAAAGGGCTTGTTTATATAGCGGG